ATGGTGTGATATAGTCTGATATGTTAGTATATAAATAAGACATAAAAAGGAGTTAGTGAACCTAGCTGCCAGCTCAGTGTTAAAACTGCTGATTGGACATGTAACGGACGAAGTCAGCGGCAATAAGTTATAGAGTAAATAACAGATAAAATTAGGACTCTGATTGGTGATTGAGAACGTGCTGATCACCAGCAGTTTCAAGAAATAAAAATATTTCACTAATTAACTTCATATACTTTACTATAACTCAGTAATCATATAAAACCCAAGGTACTGAGCTTTGATTCATGTAATTTTATTTCTCTGTTCTTAGCTTTAAAAATGTACTATCTAGAGATCCAAAATAAAGTGGCATTGAATTCGAACTTGACTATCCACCGTAAAAAAAGCTATCTACAAGCTGGTTTATAATAATTAACACTGTTTCATTGAAACTCTCAACCATTACAGAAAATGAGTAAAAATAAGTGCTCTGGCGCGAGACTGGTAGGTCATGGGTTCGAATCTCGCGAGATGGGATCGTGGATGCGCACTGCTAAGGAGTCCTATTATAGGATGAAACGGCCGTCCAGTGCTTTCAGGTTTTCCATGGCGGTCTAGTTTTAATCGACTTATGATCTCAACTCTATAAAATACACATAGTTTCTAATTATCATCTATCTTAGTGATATGTCAATTATTCTTTATACACTTTTAGAACAAATCAATCAATATAAAATGTAAATTACAATCATAGTACAAACTATTTTATTTAAGATAAAGTGAATTCATTTCATTCCACATAAACTAAATCATTCAGATATATAATGATTTCATTAAAATGAATTGTTTTACAAATATCATTTTATATGAAACATGAATAAATTACTATGTTCTACATGAGGTATTCCTTGGAGTTCTAGTGAAAAGCAGTAACCAGTGGAGTTCAACCACATCTGTTGGGAGATATCAACTCACTGAAGACAATTGGTGAATGGTTGCTCGATTTCGTGGATTGGTTGAAGTTGAACATTAACACCGTTCGATGTAGGCCGGCTCAGTGGTCTATCGGTTAAGTGCTCTGGCGCGAGACTGGCAGGTTCTGGGTTCGAATCTCACGAGTGCGGGATCGTGGATGAGCACTCCTGAGGAGTCCCACAATAGGAGGAAACGGTCGTGCAGTGCTTCCATGTTTTTCCATGGTCAGTCAGTCACAACGTAGAACTTCGTACGTACGTACATCAGTTCGAGTTGCCATACCACATCAGCACAGAGATGCAGTTGTCGATTCGAATCTCATAGTGGTAGAAGTAGTAATAGTATAAACATTATGTGAAAGATTAGGGTTTGAAGATGTTATTAAAGGAGTATAATCCAATAAAATGAATTTGGAAAGAGAAAAACAATAGAGACATAAAGAATTCAGAAGATACGAATTTGGCAGAACACAAAGAGTGGATGCACCTTCGCCATCGGTCTAGCTTCAATTGACTCATTATTTCAACTATATAAAATTATAGTTTTCTTTTTAAATTTTATAATTCGGATTCGAATCCAACAGGGATTATCAGTTCCTTCAAAAGATTGCAGGTATGTCATTGCTAACTATCAGTAAATCAAACTAGATCCAGAATTTCTAACCACTTAAAATAGTATAAGAAATATAAACTAAACGAAATTATTACAGATTAACTGATCGTTGTATTAGACAGGAATAAATTTTATTCATATTTTATTCAATATAATTTACTAATATAACTGTGAAAACTGAAGTAAATGTTAAAACAATGAATTGACGCTTAAGATAGAACCACTTTGTTATTTACTTTCAAGGTGAAAACTAAGGTTTTGAATGGTAATAATAACAAATAATTATACATTAGTATAAACTACCATAATTTACTCAACAACTTAAACCAGTACACGGTGTATTGTGCGCTACTTATGCGGATAGACGTAATTGGTATGTAGCAGGAACTGAGAGTGGAACGCTTACCAGAAGAAGATTGAAATAAAGAGAAAGGGATTGAAAACGACGAGCGATAAGAATAATAACAGGATCGGACGAATGATGAAGTATGTAAAGGACAACTGAAAGCAAGATATGCAAATGATGTATTTAATGTATGATTTTCATATTCTACAAAGATGTTGTGTGACTTTTCATAAATCAATAAATTGGTTTTCCCCACCAAATGTTCTTTTTGTACAAGTTATAATCTTAAAAGATTATGTTTATGACGTAGCGACAAATAAATAATGTATAAAATAAGCATAACTGTAGTGAACGAGCATGCAGCAGGGAAGGGAAAGCAATTCACCGTTTAGTGCAAAATTATAGTGTCTTCGTAAATTATGAAATCAAACATTAAGTAATTCATTTGCACATCTCTCATTAATCGTCCTTTAAATCCTTCATGATTCTTCCAACTTTCAATTCCTTTATGTTTCCCTTTCTGTTTTCTTCAATTCAATCTTCTCAACCTTCTTTTGAAATGCATTCCATTTCTGATGGGTGTTACACACTACTTATATCTGTCAATATAAGTAGCATACACCATGAAACAACTGTTACTAGTATTTTAGACAAATAGAAACGAAATTGAAAGAGGAATATGATATTTAAGGGTTAACAGTAATTAGCAAGATACTTTGCTCGATCTAGTTTACTTCTTAGTTTGCACTAGTCACCAACACATATTCACAATCATGAAACCAATGATAATATATATGGAGTTTGGATACATATTATTTAGTAGCACTGAATCATTCGAGCTGCAGCTAAACTTTTGTGAGAATGATATCTCAATTTTTTTTTATAAAAACGTAGTTATCTATTTTCTTTAGTAACCATTGTAAACTAAAGCATCATATGGATCTAATATGTGTTATAAAACTCAAATCAATGGATTATAGTCATGTTTTAACAAACACGAGAAAATCAGGCTCAAACACGAGAAAATCAGGCTGGCTTCAGACCTGGTCGTGGCTGTATCGACCATATATTCACCATTTATCAAGTTTTAGAGCACAGACACGCTTGTCGGCGTCCGACAATGATAGTTTTTCTTGACTTGAAAGCAGCATTTAACTCTGTAGACCGAGAGGTTCTGTGGCAGTGTCTGTCATTGAAAGGTGTACCTCAGAAGTACATAAACCTTGTGAAGGCTCTTTACTCGAACACTATCAGTCGAGTGAGAGCTTATGGCGAACTGTCATATGATTTTACAACCTCAAGTGGTGTCCGTCAAGGCTGTTCACTATCCCCATTTTTGCTTAACTTCATTATAGACCTGTTGCTGGAAACAACACTCTCTTCGACTGACTTTTCAGGAATTTATCTCCTACCAGGGGGACCACTAAGCGACTTAAAATACGCAGATGACATAGTCCTGTTTGGTGAAGACGCTGACAAAATGCAGAGTCTTCTGTTGGAACTCAGTAATAATGCCAGGATGTTTGGGATGCGATTCTTCCCATCCAAATGTAAATTGTTACTCCAGGACTGGCCTGCGTCAACACTCGAACTAAGGATAGGGAATGAAGTAGTCAAACGCGTCGACAACTTCACTTATCTTGGAAGTCTGATCAGCCCTAATGGGTTGGTGTCTGACGAAATCTCAGCACGGATTCGAAAAGCTCGTTTGGCTTTTGCCAACTTACGTCACCTATGGCGAAGACGAGATATCCGTCTATCAATTAAGGGACGAGTATACTGCGCAGCAGTTCGCTCTGTTCTACTTTACGGTTGTGAAACATGGACATTAAGAGTAGAAGATACCCGTAGGTTATTAGTATTTGACCACAGATGCCTTAGAAATATTGCACGCATTTGCTGGGATCACCGGGTAAGTAATAGTGAGGTTAGATGCAGGGTATTAGGGAACGATGGCAAATCAGTTGATGAGGTGATGAATCTTCATCGACTGAGATGGTTGGGCCATGTGTTACGTATGCCTGAACACCGATTACCACGACGCGCTTTGCTGACTAGTGTAGGGGATGGTTGGAAGAGAGTTAGGGGCGGCCAAACCAAAACATGGCATCAGTGTCTGAAGTCACTAACTTCTAGTCTGAGCCATGTTGGCAGATGCAGACTACTTGGTTGGGGTCCGCGTGACTATCGTAACCAATGGTTGGAGACTCTAGGTGACATGGCTCAGGATCGATCACAATGGCATAGGTGTATACACTCTTTATCTTCCTTTAAACCTTGAGACTAAAATTGCTTCATATCTCTCCTCCTTCCTGTACTATATCCTTATATACAACCTATAATTTATATACTACTACCACCACTAAATTAATTACTTCTATGAATCCGGTGTTCATCTTGTTGTGCTAACGAGGTATGGCAACTTGGACCGATGCATAAATGTGCCTGGTCCTACGTTGTAGCTGACTGACTGACTGAGTCATGTATTAAAAATAAGATATTTAGCATAGAGGATTAATTCACTTATTAAAAACCATGTCATAGGAATTACGCAACTAACATATTTCGGAATTATTAATAAAATCATATTTATAAATCTTGTTGTACTAATGAGGTAATAGCAACTTGGACTGATGTATATATTTTTCATAGTTGAAATCATGAGTCAATTAAAGCTAGGCCATCATGAAAAACCTGGAAGCATTGGATGGCCGTTTTGTCCTACTGTGGGACTCCTCAGCATTGCGCATCCACGATCCCGCACTCGCTAGATTCGGGCCCAGGACTTACCAGTCACGCGCCAGAGCACTTAACCGATAGACCACTGAGCCAGCCTATATCCAATGGTGTTAATGTCTAACTCAACCAATCCACTATGTTTGAGCAATCGTTCACCAATTGTTTTCAGTGAGTTGATATCTCTACAACAAACTTGGTTGAACTTCACTGGTCACTGATGTATATATGTGCCTGTTACATTCTACGTTGTAGATGACTGATTGAACAGGTTATAGAATTATGACAAATACATACTAAATATGTACTTAAATAAACAGATTAATAAACCACAAAACAAAACACTTACTATGAACACTGGGATACTTTTCATCTTTATGAGTATATGTATGATTAATCATGCTTTGCTTAGTGATTAGATCATTTTGAAGATGATTAGATCCTGAAACCTCCGTATAATTAATTGATTTAGGTTTAACAAAACAATTTATATGTTGTAATGTAATATTTGATGTATTCACTAATGGAATTGTTCGATTAGATTCTTTTCCTTGTACAGAATGTTCATTCAGGGTTTTCATTTGTGATTTACGAGATTCTGATTGCTAGTAGAAAAAAAAATTGAACAATAATAAAATATAAAAAAATTATTGATTTTAATTAATCTTGTATTATTTTTGTTACTACCTTGAATTTACTTAGTTAGTCAATCAGTCATATGTAACAAAGAACCTGGTGGATAAGTAGCGTTGGTTCATGTTGTCATACTATATTAGCACGATGTAAAATTATCACGATGAATATTAAGGAAGTAGATATTATTATTATTATTATTATTATTATTATGAGCTTTATTCAATATTATATCTTTGGTACAATATAGAATTTGTATCTTCAATGCGAACGTCAAGACAGTTCTACTGTACGGAGCTGAAACGTGGAGAACTACTATATCTAACGTCAAGAAGGTACAAGTATTTATAAACAGTCGTCTACGAAAAATACTCAACATCCATTGGTCGGATACTATCAGCAATAGCCTTCTGCAATAGAGAACAAACCAGCTTCCAGATGTGGAGGAAATTAAGAAAAGACGTTGGAAGTGGATCAAACATACATTGAGGAAATCACCAATGTGCATCACTATGCAAGCCCTAACTTGAAATCCGGAAGGGAAGCGGAAAAGAGGAAGGCCAAAGAACACATTACGCCGGGAAATAGAAGCAGATATGAAAAGGATGAATAACAACTGGAAAGAACTGGTAAGGAAGGCTCAGGACAGAGTTGGATGGAGAATGCTGGTGAGCGGCCTATGCTCCTCGACGAGGGGTAACAGGCATAATTAAGAAAGTAAGTAATAGAATTCTCAGCACAATGTATTTCAACAAGCTACCGTTTCTTAATCCTTGGTCGATACTGTCGACAAATATTGAGTAATTGACAGTTAGAAGTTAACAGTCAAGTCAATCGACATCTAAATAATGTACATTCTTCTCGCTGCCTATTGTCGGCAATCACGATATCTCTGATTGGGCCTTTTGTAACTTGTACAACAAAGGGTTTTACAATTTCCAGAAACGTATCTGAACAAGTTATGCGATTAATAGCTATAATAATGTATTAAAACAAACAAAATTAGATAACTTGTTGAAATATTTTGATGACAGGAACAGATAGTTCAGATGTGTAAGCAGTCCACTAGTTGAAATGAATAAATGGATCTGTGATATTGCAACTGATTCTGAGGAGTACCATACAGCGCATTCAACCATTTGGTTAAGATAACGATCAGGACTTTATTCTGGTGATATTTGACCTAACAACACAGTTCAGTCCAATTGTCAATGACTCTATGAACTGACGTCGCATTTTGGTTTGAAATTATCATTTAATAGCATTCATTTACTAATAAGAAATAATATTTGAATGCTATCAAAATATTGCAGATTAATTTGTTCGATTCATTCGAATATGATCAACAATTAAGGCCCAGGACAGAGTGGGTTAAAGAATGCTGGTCGGCGGCCTATGCTCGTATTGGGAGTAACAGGCATAAGTAAGTAAGTAAGTAATTAACCACAACATAGCTCCAATGTCATGCAAATTTAGCCCGTAATGGTGATCGAATTTTACCGATCAAGTAACAGGCATGGTCATTAGTCTATGTGATTCGATTCTAATTAACGATTCACTTTGAATAAACAGAATATAAATATTCCAACTGCATTCTTTATTCTCACTTAAATAAAATAAAGGTGACCAACTAATAAGGAAATACATTATGCAACCACTAGTTGGGACCTATTTCATATATCATTATTTGTTTGACCTTTTTTGTAAAGGGTTACATTTTTTACTTACGCCTGTTACCCCCAATGGAATATAAGGTGCCGGCCAACTAACCAGAAAAAAAATTCAATTTTTGTAAAGGGTACTGTAACAATACCATTCATAAACCAGAAGTTTTGTCCCACTTAAAACACTGGTTATTAAGCTGTGGAAAGTTCAAAGAAGAAAACATTTAGCTTGTCACAAAAAACGTTAACTACCATTATAGACAGAGAATGTATATTTGCAAGCAGTGAAATGCAGGACGGGCGTTTCGTCTTACTTGGGACTAATAATCTGGATGTATCTGCATCCCACAGTCCCATGGTAAATACCATCTCTGGGAAGCAAGTACATCTAGATGACGAATCGCACATAGAACGAAACACGCGTCTTCAAAACCACCGCTAGACACCATTCATCTCTATTTACATGCTTGTGACTTAAGGCAATGCTGGGGCAATTCACACAGGATACAAATATGTTAATAAGGATCTGATCAACTGCAATCCTAAACGTCAATAGAAATATTCAAACAACCAATACAAGATGAATTAACCACTATTGCCTATTTTGGAAACTGACTAAACCAATCACTTAATTCGTCTACCTATTTAGTAGAAACATTGAGATGTATAATGATAAACTACTTTTCCTTAGTATTGCTTTAAAGAAAAACGGAAAGAAAGAAATATTTTGAATTTTCACTACATAGTGACATCGATTAGAAAACCATTAAAACTAGAGACCATTGAGCATATTTTCTGTTCTAGTGTAAAACTAATTAGCAAGCAATATCCATCCATAAGTCTACATTGTATTGAATAATGAAATGATAATTAATGGACGACTTTTGAGCGACGCCAAATTGACCTTGAGAATAATCACCAACTTGTCAAGGTTAAAAGAGGGTTATAAATTAGTGTGAGAAATTAAAATCAGAATTTATAGTTAGAAATTAGAGTTTTCATCACAAGCTGGTATCAGCAATAAAGCTAAAATGCTATTTGAACATGTGGGTAGATGAATTTTCTCTCAAACCCACATTTGAGCACTACCCAGAATACGTCAAAAGTACTATTGTTGAACATCTATTTCCATCAGAATCTTTATTATAAATTATTTACAAGGTCAAACAAATATTCTCCAAGTGTAGCTGAATAAGAAATTTGTCTATAACAAAGGTTTTGGCAATTCGTCCATTCAAGTTTAGTTTCAGTGTTCAAAAATCCTTGCTTTATCATCGTCTTAACGATCCGATAAATTTTACAGATTGTTTTGACACATAGCTAGTTTTTGATTGAGATCATGAATCGATTGATGTTAGACCACCAGTGAAAATCAGGTTTTCAATGTTGTTCTAACATCAATCGATTCATGATCTCAATCAAAAACTTAATAGTCTCCAAAACCCTATACTGATAGCATAGTTAGTTCTTCTCTATCTTCATTATATGCGTTAAATAAATAATTACCTTTCGACCAGTATATAATTTAAATTCAACACGAAAAAATACTCCCGATTAATTTTGAGTAACCTCCATTTCAAAAAGGATCTTTAATGTTCACTTGACAATGAACTAGACTAGTTGAGCAATTTAATGTGACTTATTAGATGGTTGCAAGTAATCAGTAAACAAAAAAACTCTGAACTCGATTTTGTGCTGTTTAGAATTAATCATCAAAGTGTATAGTCAATTTTTAGGGAATTGATATTCCCTGTGGGATTGGAACCTGTATCATACAATTTGATAGTCTGTGATGTTACTACAGAGCTATTCAGGTTAATATTTACCATGTGACATAACATCTAGGTAATTTGTCTTGATTACGAAGATCTAAATTCAGCGACCGAATAAAAATAATAAAATAGTATGGTAGGTGAATCGTTGATACCTTTGTTTTTTGTAATGACGTAAAGTGTAGCATCACATCGATGTTAACACAGTACCTTTACAGCAGTAAAAAACAATTAAAACAAATATGATATTAAATATATAGTGTAAAACATGAATAGACTAATGTATAAACGACCGTATGTATAGAGAATTGTGGGTATCATTAAATTTTGTATTTAGGATTATGGACTGATATTCAATTTAGACAACTATTGAAAATCGGGAAACAATGAATAAACGGTTTCATCTTAGTATGTTACCTCCCCAACAATATGCATTTACGACTGATGGAGATGGAACATAAGGTGTTCAGAGTTTGCGGAAAGCGCATAACTTTCACACAAATCAGTTGGCATTCAACGATTTACAATTTTAACTACAGTCAATTCACGATATTGAGAGACTATCATTCACTACCATATTTATCTCAAGCCAAAGATAGTTGAACTCAATAAGTACTAAGACACTATCTAAGTTACCATGTGGAAGATTTTTTTTCATTTAAATCTAAGTAAGATCATTCAAGACATGTAGACAAATCAAATCTAATAATGGAATACACGATATTATCATTATTGTTATTACTATGATTAGAAAAATGGAAAAAATGTAGATATCAGGCAACATAAACTCACCGCATTTCGACGATGAGATAAAAATTTTAGAATTCCTGTAAAATCCATTTTAATTAATTAAATCAAACCTATTATTATTATTGTGAAGACAATGACACATGGAAACTCTTTTGCTTTGTTTAAGCTCATACATTGAAATCACAAGACAACAGATTTCCTAACAATGAACCGGTAGACTGATTGCGTAATCACAGAAGGTAAAAATGACAAAGAACAACAATACTGACAATGATGACGATGATGATAAATAATAATTAAAACATATAGTCGTGAAGAAGAAAATTGGAATTTCGAAGATGAACATGGGAGTACTTGTCACGCACAGATACACACACACAAGTGAAGAAGGAAAATGATGACAATCATAGAAATTATTGGTTAACAAAGTTTATTTGCTGACTGACTGACTAACTGACGGATTAGTTGAAACCAAACAATATTAATGCTCAACAATAACTCAGCCAATCAGTAGTAAATAAATACGAGGAGCGGAAAACAGAGGAAAAATATAGCGGAAATTAAAATCATGCAAACATAATTTAATATTTTAGTCAGCAGGATAAGGTAGATAAGAGGAAAGTTGGAAAGATAGCCGGGGAACTTGCACAGAGGCTTCTTCAAATATAACTTTAGTTAGTAACTAGTACCGGAAACCAGGAAGTGTATTTTATCTATTTTGGATGTACCTGCAGTAAAGTTTTGATGTTCATAGTAAGACCCGAACCCAATACATATCACTTTAAACACAAACGATCTAGAGCAATTGAAAATGTCTATGATTAAAGCGAATCAGTAGTCTAATGGATAACACATTTGAGTTTCAAGTGATAGGTACTAGTTTCTAATCTTAGTGAGAACACCAATACTGAGATGCTGATACATGCAGCTCGAGTCACAATTACAACAAAACGTAAATCTCGGATTCTATTGCTCACTACTAGCTGAAAGTATAATAAACTTGTAACCACAGATTCTTGTGTGAGAATAAAAAATGAACAGTCATGAATATTAACAACCTAATGGTCGAACGCCTAAACTAGACTATTAGTAAATTAAAAAATCAACTCATCAACTGTTTTATACAGAACTATATAGATGATTTACCGCTTTACTTGTCTTGCGACAACTAATTGAACTAATTGGCCCGACCGTAGCTGCTACCTTGATGTGGTGGTCGGGCTTGCCTATTGTGATGAACCAGTCGAGCTATACTGGCTGGAACAATCGTTCCTCAAGGTCCTACCATGCCAGACAGGTCGGTTGAAGAGTGGTAAAACTAAAAGCAGCAATCCCAAGGTCCGAAGGCGAAGTCGTACTGCTGACTGTACAGAGGTGTGACAGCAGTAAGATGTTTCCTTCAGACAACCAGCATAACAGTGATGCTGCCTTCCCACAAAAAGGGGTGGTGTTAGAAAAGGTCGACCCTAAAAATGCACACCTCGCCTTATCCCACGAATTTCCGTCTCCAGCGGTAAGGTCCTTTGAAGAACGGAGCTAACACAAAAACTACCCACCAAAAGATCGTGTGTGACCGACCTGAAGCAGTTGTCCCTAGGGCACTGCGGTCACGCTCTCAGGTGATTAAGAACATTTCTAACCCAATTTCCTTTTCAGGTACCTCTAGAAGAACCCTTCCACGGTGTGGGCAGTCGGGAAGTGTTAACTACCCTCATACCTCTAACAGCCCTCAGGACTACTGTATTCATAATTGAACAAAATGTTAGGAATGATTAAATTACAAAGTGTATTCAGTTGTGTAAATTTGAATAGGATAAGAACTATAGCTGATTATATCAATTTAAGGTATTCAATTAGCTCATAGTCAGAATATTTTCACATGTTTCTTGAGAACTCTTATCTATATAGTTAGGTTTAGAGTGAATAATAGTGAAATTCAGAAAGACTTTTTATCATGAGCTAAAAATCATATAGCGTTAGACAGTTATTAGACCTACATTTGGGACCAGGTAGAAACGTAAAAGCTGACATATATGAGTACAAGTTCATATATGGTCCTGGGTATTTATTGTTTATGGGTTGCGAATTCGGATAAATAAGCTATCCAGTACCTTCTAGTTTTGTAATGTTACTTACTGATTTCAGTCTATAATGAAAAATGTGCTCAAATTCTTATCATTATTGATGGTTAATTAATGACATAACTTCTTTTCAAAGTTATACAGTTTAACATGTACTCAACTTTGAGCCACGATGTTCATGTAAAAGTTTATTGATACTATTCGACTAATCTAAACGAAGAAAGTGAAATAGGATTTCAATGTAAAAATCAATGATAGACAGTCAAGAAATCTAACCATTAAGTCACTGCACCATCTATCTACTGTTCTATTATTCTTGTTGCTTTTAAATGGGTTATTTAATTACAAGTTGGTTTTAAATCTTTTTAAATAAGATTATTCTCATAGAAGTCCACTTCGGTCCATTTAGGACTCGTCACCTGGATATCACTGCAACTCAATACTGTAGTTCACATTAGGACTCAAACTTTGTATCTTACGCCTGAAACTCTAACATGAACATACTAACAAACAACTCAGAATTGGGCATGTACAATATATTACTTAATCAACAATAAAAGATAAGTATAAAGAAGCATAATAATAAAATAGTTACATATTTATGCATGTTCAATTTGGCAATAGGCGAAAAAATCTTACCAGTGTTGAGGATTCCACAATATTCATACTGTTATCACTACTATCAGCACCACAAAGAAATTGATTAGGTGATGGGAGTGATTTATACGTATCTTCAAATTCAGCTCTTAGAGACTCCATTGTAAATTGTCCAGCTAATTCATTATCACAATTATCAAATGACACATTGTATGGTCTACCGCTTTCATTAGATGTAACCAGCATCAGGTCGTTGTTGTCTCTGCTTTCATCATCATTATCATTTTCTACAATATGCCGTAATTTCTCTTTTGAAATGGGACTACCTCTGGGTGTAATATTTTCTACAATGACGCCATGTGTATTCATCGTTGATTCAATATTTAGACCAGAATCGATTGTTGTTACTGAAGAAGCCAACGTTTCATGGCTACGAATAATAACAGGTAGGACACCTTGTGCAATTAATGTATCATCTATATCAAGAATATAAGTACCTGTATGACTTGGTGTTAAACTAGTTAACGAGGTCCCAACATGATCAGAATCTTCCAAGTTATCGATTAAATGTGATAAAACATCTTTTTTATTTTTAGTATCCTGTAGTTTATTGTCATGAGTTTCAGTAAGACATACAGTTGAACTAGTTATGCATAAAGGTTTCGCATTTGATGGGGTTTTAGTTAAATCTACTGTAGAAATGGAATCATTCAATCGTTTATTTCCAGAATACTGGTGATGCGCTGTAAGTGTTTGTACATGTTCAACAGGTAACATGGAGTTCTAGATAAATGATGGAGAAAAAATTGGAGTCCATAATTAATAATGACTTTTTTATAGACAAAAAACAAACCAAAATGCATTTCTAGTGCTACGGGAGAGTGTAAAACAAAACTTCATAATACCATGACGATGATTAATCGACAACCGTTTCCTTTCCGTATATGTCAAATAGATTTGAATTCTTTGACACCAACCACTCTCCATTAAGAAGCAACGAAATAGTACAATTTTATTTATTAATTACCTTAGACAGTATAAAAATATGGGTAAAAGTATTATATAGGGACGAATGAATCAATCAGAGTAGTGAGCACGACTTATAGGCTGTTGCGTGAAATTAGAATATCGCAGTACAACGAGAAGTAGAAATACCTTAATTGACATTACTTAACGTTAAGTGATTACAATGTTAAAAGTTTAGACACTTGAGAGTATTGATTTATTTGAGACGATACCCATTAAAGCATAGTACATGTACCCTTCTATTTGTTATTTTAATGTATGTGCTATGATGTATGAATGAAGTCCATCGGAGTTAACATTAAAATGTGATATTTTGATTTTAGAGAGGGGTTCAATGGATGCAAAGTAACGTGATGATATTTCAACCATTAGATTTAACAATATCACCGCAAATGTGTACTTTTCATTATACGACAAAATAAACTAAAGAAGAATATAACTAACACTAAGAAAAAGAATCAATACTTTTTACTGTATTGTAGTGGACACTACTCACAAGACTGTCTGCAAGTAGTATGTAGCGGAATGTCACGTCAAAGTTGCAGGAATTGTCAGACGGAGTGAAGAGTTACAGTTCGTCTAAAGTACAGGGTAGATAGAACACTTGAAGATCAAACGAGGAGACAATTCACATGGCAGAATACACCGAAAGATGCAAATGAGTGATTGAAGGTTATGTACATGTATTATGTAAATACTTTGTAACTTCCCGCATCAATAATAAGATTATTTCTGCCTATTGTCATGTTTTACGGCAGGAGATTTAAAGTGTGTGAATGCTAACGTATTTGAATAACGGAATAGACGTAGTCAATTTGTCGCCTAAGAGATTGAATACTATGTTAAAATATCAATAGAATAAAATTAATTGTCTAACATTATAATAAAAATAGTGTCGGATTTTTACCTCAAAATCTTTTTCATACTGTGGCAATTGTTTTGTTTGTTGGTTATTTGATAAATGATTGGTAGATCGACGATTCAGTAGTTCACCCTTTGCTGTAATATCTCCTTTAGGACTGCCACGAGGTGTTATTAAGTCATTATCTTTAGATAAATGAATATTTTGCTCATTGGAATGCTGTAAGAAATCTCGGTTTGCATTGTTATTATTATTATCGTCATTGTCATCATCGATACCATCTCCTCCATCAATTACATAAGTTCCTGTTTGACTTGGTGCTAGACTAGTGACAGAAGTACTAACAAACATGGATAAGTTCATTGACTTTAATGTTGGATCCATTGTTGTATCATCATTCTCATGTGTTGTACAGTGAACTTTACTATTGGATACAGTTGAAGATTTCACAATAGTTTGAGTTTGACTTGTAGGGACTTCATTTTTGTAACATTTTGATAAATACACTGGAGTTTTTGTTGGTAATGTCCTACTGTTTGAAGTTGATATGGTTGTTAAGTCAGAATGATGAGAAGGGAGATCTTGATAAGGTGTTTCTACATCATCAATCGAAAGAAGTATCTCAGAATACTGTAAGGAATTTAGATAACAAGTGAAAATTTGAAATAAGCATTAGTTATTAAAATGAAGCGAATTTTCACGTATAGACAGTATGTTGGATACATGTATAGCGACCATGGATCTCTAGAATGATGACTCATTAATACTATTAACAAAATCGTCGTGTCGCAGTAGCTTATTGATTAAGGAAATCAGCTAGTTGGAAATAGTAAAAGAAAAGTCTTTCAAAAATGTACGATGGCCTAAGTTCCGATTAATGCATTAGCATGATAAGACGAAATTAACAAGATGACTACCAAGGAAACAGAAATGACATGGTAACAATGGTAATAAGAAAGGTTAAACACTAACACTATGGTTCAAAAAATACAGAATGAAAAGCTATGTATAAATGACTACTGGAACTCGAAATCTAGCGAAAACGCATCTGTGAAACTGCAGCCGATTCTAAGTCATGTCATCCAACTTTATTAACCATTGATCTCGATTATATCGCAAATTCCAATCAGGTATTCTGCATTTATAAATATGGCTCAGACTAAAAGTCAATGACTTCATGGACTAATGTTCAATCTTGGTTTGTAAATCCATAACTTTCTTTCAAAAATCTTCTACATCATTAAACATCGCCTGTCGAGGTAAGCACTTAGTCTCCTTTGGATAAAAATACTTAAATTTTAAAGATGACTTTTGGAAGTCCTGATTCCATTCCATCTACTATGGGTTAATGAGAGTTGAACAGTACTATCAGTAGGATAGTTCAAAAGTTTAGTACAGATGAACGAAACTTTCGATGATAATACCAGAAGTAAAAAATAAACTACTTAAACTAGTCATTTGTTCCTTACTTCTATTTTCAATTATTCCTGTTTGCTATATCCTGAAAATTTAAGTTACTAACTTTGGGCGTCCACTCTTTTAATTAATTTAGACTATTTAGGATATTACGCAATCTTTTATAGAATATTTCAGTTAACTAGTACACCCATTACTATAATATTAAGTTGACTGATCACAATAGTGACTAATATCATGTTTTTCTACTCCGACAAAGAGTATTAGTCCTCTCGAGATTGTATGTACGATTCGCTAACAAATACTAACTGGCAGGAATCCTAGGTTCAAGGTTTTCTTATAGACTACTTTCAACCATCTAACATATAAATGATTTCTTAATAGATGATACAGGTTAAGACAAGCAGATAACATAATCAACGTGAACTTTCACCATTATATCATTATTAATATTAACAGACTGTTTAATTTACACAGTCTAAATTTCACATACGTATATATGTTTCTAACTCCGCCTGTAGCTCCTCCAGGGGCTACTGCCGGTCCCAAGCCCACACAAAGGAGGAGGGTTGGGCATGGGGTTAGCGACCCCATCCCGTAGAAAATCAACTCGCTAAAAAAACGCTAACCAGAAAAAATCATTCAAACCATTCAAACTCTGCCCTGGGAGTAGAAGGAATAATTATGACGTCTCATGATGAAAGCCGAGTCCATTCGGAAGTCATGAGGCCGATGCACCTTCTTACAACCAGAGCGACAATTTTTATAGGTACATGGAATGTCCGGACAATGTGGGAGACCGGAAGAGTCTTCCAAATTTCTGTGGAAATGAGGAAATACAACCTGGAAGTGCTTGGAATCAGTGAAACACATTGGACGCAGGTTGGACAACAACGACTGTCTTCAGGGGAACTTCTGTTATACTCCGGTCATGAAGAAGAAAATGCCCCACATACACAAGGAGTGGCACTGATGCTGTCTAGAAAAGCACAAAATGCACTTATAGGATGGGAATCTCATGGACCGAGGATCATCAAAGCCTCCTTCAGAACAAAGAGAGGGCATTACAATGAACATCATCCAATGCTATGCGCCGACCAACGACTACGATGAAGACGCTAAAAACCAATTCTACGATAGGCTGCAGTCAATCTTCGAGAAGTGCCCAACCAAGGACCTGACCATTCTAATGGGAGATTTCAATGCCAAGGTTGGAAAGGACAACACTGGATACGAAGACGTCATGGGACAATATGGACTGGGAGGAAGGAACGAAAATGGTGAGAGATTTGCAAACCTATGTGCCTTCAATAAACTGGTCATAGGTGGCACCATATTCCCACACAAAAACATACACAAAGCCACTTGGATTTCACCGGATCACACTACACAAAATCAAATCGACCATGTCTGCATCAACAAAAAGTTCAGGAGGACGATGGAGGATGTGAGAACCAGAAGAGGAGCTGATATAGCATCCGATCATCATTTGCTGGTCGCCAAGATGAAACTAAAACTCAAGAAGCAGTGGACAACGGTGCGGACAACATCACAAAAGTTCAACACGGCCTTTCTTCGAGATGCTGACAAACTCAACAAATTCAACATAGCCCTCAGCAACAGGTTCCAGGCCTTTCATGACCTACTCAATGGAGAAGGAACCACCATAGAGAGCAGCTGGAAAGGTATCAAGGAGGCAATCGTTTCAACATGTCAAGAGGTTCTGGGCCAAAAGAAGCACCATCACAAGGAATGGATCACTGTTGGTACACTGGATAAAATTGAAGCAAGGAGGAACAAGAAGGTAGCAATCAATATCAGCCGAACAAGAGCAGAAAAAGCCAAGGCACAAGCCGAATACACAGAGGCAAACAAGCAAGTGAAGAGGAGCATCAGGACCGACCGACGTAAATATGTGGAAGATTTAGCGATGACAGCGGAAAAGGCTGCAAGAGAGAGAAACATGAGACAACTGTATGATACAACAAAGAAACTTGCTGGAAATTACCGTCAACCAGAAAGACCAGTGAAAAACAAGGAAGGCAAAGTAATCAACGATATTGAAGAACAACGAAACAGGTGGGTAGAACACTTCAAGGAACTCTTGAATCGACCAGCTCCACTGAACCCACCCAACATCGAAGCAGCACCCACAGACCTCCCAATCGATATTGACCCACCAACAATTGAAGAGATCAGCATGGCCATTAGACAAATCAAGAGCGGCAAAGCAGCGGGACCAGACAACATCCCGGCAGAGGCACTGAAAGCAAATGTAACAGCAACTGCCAAGATACTCCACATCCTCTTCGGTAAGATTTGGGACGAAGAACATGTACCAACAGACTGGAAAGAAGGACTTCTCATCAAGATACCAAAGAAAGGCGATCTGAGCAAGTGCGACAACTACAGGGGCATCACTCTCCTCTCAATACCAGGAAAAGTCTTCAACAGAGTATTGTTACATAGGATGAAGGATTCCGTGGACGCTCAACTTCGAGATCAACAAGCTGGATTTCGTAAGGATAGATCGTGCACAGATCAAATCGCAACTCTACGTATCATTATGGAACGATCAATCGAATGGAACTCATCACTCTACATCAACTTCATCGACTACGAGAAGGCATTTGATAGCGTGGACAGGACGACACTATGGAAGCTTCTTCGACACTACGGCGTGCCTGTGAAGATAGTCAACATCATACGGAACTCCTATGATGGACTAAACTGCAAAATCGTCCACGGAGGACAACTCACCGACTCATTCGAGGTAAAGACCGGTGTTAGGCTAAGTTGCTGAATCTCACCCTTTCTCTTCCTCCTGGTGATCGACTGGATTATGAAGACGTCAACATCTGGAGGAATGCACGGGATACAGTGGACAGGCAGGATGCAGCTTGACGATTTAGACTTCGCGGATGATCTGGCTCTTCTATCACAAACGCAACAACAAATGCAGGAGAAAACGACCAGTGTAGCAGCAGCCTCAGCAGCAGTAGGTCTCAATATAAACAAAGAGAAAAGCAAGACTCTCCGATACAATACAATATGCACCAATCAAATTACACTTGACGGAGAAGCTTTGGAAAATGTGGAAACCTTTACATATCTGGGCAGCATCATTGATGAACATGGTGGATCAGATGCAGATGTGAGGGCGAGGATCGGCAAAGCAAGAGCAGCATATTTACAACTGAAAAACATCTGGAGCTCAAAACAATTGTCAACCAACACCAAGGTTAGAATTTTCAATACAAATGTCAAGACAGTTCTATTGTATGGGGCGTAGACGTGGAGAACTACGAAAGCAATTATCCAGAAGATACAAGTGTCTATTAACAGTTGTCTATGCAAGATACTTCGGATCCGATGGCCAGACACTATCAGCAACAAGTTACTGTGGGAAACAACAAACCAGATTCCAGCGGAGGAAGAAATCAGGAAGAAGCGCTGGAAGTGGATTGGGCACACTTTGAGGAAATCACCCAATTGTGTCACAAGACAAACCCTCACATGGAATCCTGAAGGTCGAAGGAGAAGAGGAAGACCAAAGAACACATTACGCCGAGAAATAGAGACAGACATGAGAAGAATGAACAAGAACTGGAAAGAACTAGAAAAGAAGGCCCAGGACAGAGTGGGTTGGAGAAAGCTGGTCGGCGGCCTATGCTCCATTGGGAGTAACAGGCGAAAGTAAGTAAGTAAGTAAGTAATATATGTTTCTCGAAAACCATTGAGTCTATTCATAGTTCTTTTTAAATAAAGGATTTACAATCTATCATCTCCATCACCCGCCAAATGCCCTGGTACGGCCGAGAGTGGGGAGAGTCCGCTCTCCCTCTCCAATTGCTCTCACATGGACACGCATATATAGCCTCTGCCAGGGAAGTCCTACTCACTGCCTTCTCGCATCACGGGTGTTGTTTACGAAATCGAGAGAACGAAAAGCGAATGTCCGGCGCTTTAACCAGGCCGGTGGACGCGGAAAGTCCACCTAGGAGAGTTGGGAAACCCTGATCCCAAACAAATGGTGTACATGGGCTCCAGTATCCTGAGAGAACAAATGGTGTATTAGTTAATCGTTGGTCCACGGCTACCATGGGACTGCGTCTCCTTACGATGCTCCACTGCCTTGTGGAACAGATCTTTAAGTCGAAGGCTCCGGGTGTGAGCCCCTAAGAAAATCATCTGCTTCAGTTTGGGCACCTGGG